TTAAATGAGCGTGGCGCTTGCTGGAGTCCGGGGTGTATTCTGCAGTCAAGATTAGGATCAGGCCTTAAGACAGCCACCACTGTGGGGTTTGAGCTGGGTCCAGCCGTGCTGGTTTGCTTTGCTGGTGTGATATGCATCCCACCTTTTGCATGGAGCACCAGGACATGCAGCACCAGGGATGCCCCAAGGGTCTTGAGGGGGTCTCTGAGTGCAAGGCTAATTTGGATAACCGCTCTCCTAGTCTTTGTGATTCCTGTCTCTCTAAAGGGGTGTCTGAAAACTTTTCCTTACACAGATTTTTCTCCTGAGCAGACTGTTATATGATGCTGCTGCACAGAGAGCAGCACTGAGCTGCTGACAGGTAGCACGGGCGCTGCAGCCACGGGAGTTTTATCCTCATGATGCTGATCCAGAGYCCAGAGAAGGAAAAAAATAGATGCAATAGTTTTCACCAATTTTTGGTTTCGAGCTCGTAGCTAATCCTGCATTCCAGCCCTTAATATGGGTTTCCTTAAACGAGTGTATTGTTTGAAAACAGAGTTCACGTCTTTCTGAAACTTTCCTGCTGCAAAGATTTGGACAAAGGAGTCTGAGCTCCTGCGCTGACTGAAGGGCCCTGCATTGTATAACCACTTCCAATAATGGAATTAAATCAATGTGCAGAGCAAAAGGGGAAGAAGAATTAAAAAAAAAAGAGAAAGAGAAGCTCTGCTCCCCCCTGTTGGATAGGCCTTTTGTTTGGTCTTCAGTTTGTTCAAGGTGTGGGTGATGAATCATGACAAATTACTTTCTCAGAGCTTTGCAATTTATTCACTAATGAATTAATTTTAATAGGAGCCAGCCCTGTTCCTTGCAGAGCTGCTCCAGCCACAATAAGCAGCGTTTTTCCATTTCAGTGCCCAAACAGCTCCTTTTTGCAGCAGTGAAGCCCCTGAGCTCACAGCCGGCTCCCCTGGGAGCACTTTGCAAGTTGAGATGTCTCCATGTAGGACTAGGGTCAAAAAAAAAAGAGAGCTGCCAGCCCTCTATGTGTACCCCAAGAATACGCCATCCCCTCTGTCACCCCCACTCCCACCATCTGCACTGATGCACGTTTTAGCAAATCAACTTGCTCCATGCCCTGGAAAACGCTGGCACAGGCCTGGGTCCTGTAGCCCTTTCCATGTACAAATGTGATGGACCTTGTGGGTAGTGTCATAGTCAAGGGGACAAGCTCAGGAGGGGAATGTGCTCAACCTCTCGGAGAAAAGAGTAGTCATTCTGTCCCAAATCTGGCCCTCTGGTTGCTGAGTTTATGCGGGAGAGGCAAAGATGTAGAGAAAAGAATAGCAAAAGGGTGCTTGAAAGCACCTGGTAAGGCTCTTGCTCGGAAATCAGTTTTTTTCCTTTGAGCATGCTTTTTTCCCTCTCATTCTTTCATGTCACTGCTTCTTCAAACCTCCAMATCAGACAAAAATATGGTGCCTTGTTTTTGGGCTTACATTGTCTAGGGATTTGAGCAGCAATCTTAAGGGTAGCCTTTCCCTGGGCTTGTAGGACTCATTACACTTGCTGTATCCTCCATGGGCCACATCCAGGCTATGGCAGCTGAAAGATTAATCCGGAACAGGCTCATCTTGACCACTCAGGTTGCCCTCATGATGTTGATGACCTAAAGGACAGCGTTGTACAGAACGGTCCATATCCCGAGCAAAGGCAAGCAATGGGTTTTGGGGTGGAGCGCTCCTAACCCCCTGCAGTGGTAAAAATCAAAGTCCAGACAAGAGGAAATCAGATTTAGAGGGAATTATTTATTAGAAGATCAGAGACTGTTATATACAGATTCTGTCCTGCAAAAGTGTCCTGGTCAAGGATATGGCAGGGAGACATTTCAACCCGTTAGCGCTGGCTCTGGTCTCCAAGCAGAGATACTCAAGACACGGCAGAGCTCTGCCAGGCCTGGCTCCCACCTCGCGGGCGCCGAGCCGCGGAGGGGCCTGGCACACCACAGTATCCCTGAGCTCGTCACACCGTCCTGATGTCTTTATCCCACCGGGAAACCTGCCCCGGGGGACAGGTACCGGCAGTGGGGACACCAGACGGTGCTGCAGAATGGGCACCGTTCTCCCCGCCCCGGGGTGACTTGGAGGTGTTTTCTCCAACTTGGTAATTTACCTTCTGTGGTGCCAGCGATGAAGATGGCYGGGCAAGTGGCTATGGAGATCCTACCATGCTGTGAGATGGCATGGAGTTAATTAAAAACAGAACGAAACAAAAAACAACCCCAGCCTCTGTGACACAAGAAAGAACTTCTGCCCTCTGCCCCTGACTCCAAAACCAGACCAAGTCTTAGTCTGACCCAGCCTTAAGCCTAGCAGGGACCTCAGAGAAGGTGGATCACAAAACAAAAACAAAAAGCAATTTTGCCTCATAACAGCTGTGCTCCGAGCAGCATTTYCCTCATTTCATGGGTGATCTGCTTCATTTGGGGCTGGCAGGGAGCTTTCTTTTGCAGCCTTTCTGAAGGTCTCTGCACAGACACTGCAGAGGCTCGGGGGGCTCTTCCAGGTGGACCCAGGTGAACTGGAAAGCTGCTGGGCCAAACCCAGCCCTGCAGAGTGCACGGGAGGTCTTGGTGGAGATGCAAAGACAAGACCATTTGGCAAACGAACTGGAAGACAACGGGCATCTTATTTACAATAATGGAAAGGCCRGAGACGAAGCCTTCTGAAGGCTGGTTGCTCACAGCCAGTGCAGGGCTTGGTTTCATACCAGTCCCTCTGTTTTCCTTTCTTATTCTTGGCATGCATCTTCTAGCTCTTGAACAGGTACATAGAACAGAACAGGGTAGTTTGACCTAAATAGTTTGTTTTCAGTCAACCATCACTATGAACATTCTTTTTTAACCTCTAGCARGTTTAAGGAACATTTTATTGAAGAGTCATCTTCTGAGGTTCTGCCTATGGGTGCTGAAGGAAGAGGATAAATGCTCTGGAGTCTGGCTCCCAAAGCTACTTTCTGTAGAATCTKTGTTGCTGTCTACCCAAGGAGCTTTGACTAGTTCTGGATAGTCACTTCACTGACAGTAGAGTGACATTTTACTCTACTTCTCCTTATTGAATCCCAGCTGATGGATCCAGARGCTACAGGTAAATCCTGGGCATTTCCTCCCACCCTTACACACTTTGCCTATAGCTAGCATGAGCCTTTACGTCTGGATGCTATCAAAGGCAGTCCCTTATACTTCCACAGTCCTTGGAAAAAAAAACCCCAAACAACTATTGTCAGATCAGCCTGGACAGAACTATAACATAATCCTCAGAAGCAGCAGTTTCTGGATCAGCTGTCACCACATCTCCCGTCTCAGCTGTGATCCAAGAGCGGCTGTGTGAGCTTGGTAAAMGTGAGGCCTTTGGAGGTGGGGCCTGGCAGTGCCTACACGCCGATGTGGGCACCAAAGGGAAGCTTCAGGCTGCCGCGGGGGGCTGCGTGCGCTGCCGCTGCCTCCTCCCGCAGGCTGCAGGGTCCGGTCCATGTCCTGCGCGTGGGGATCGAAAGGGAGGCCAAGCAGCAGCCCTGCGGGTACCGTGAGGACAGCAGCACTCAGCATTTAACAGTGTAGCTAAACGGCATGGCTCTATATAATGACCGTTTTTAAAAAACATGCTTTTGTATTTTTAATCAGGTTTTATGCTCCTAAGGCACTAGGCAGTTGCTTAATTGAAACAAGGCCCTCCCAGGCCTGATGTCTAGGGTTGAGAAGGTTACGGAAAATGTTCCTTGGGGACAGAGCACAGAATAGCTGCTCAGATCTTCAATTTTTAAGGACCATTTCCATGGTATTGATCATGCTGAGCAAGCTGGAGGAGCCAAGCAACAAGTGCTAAGAAGTAGGAGAGCTGCAGCCGCCCCAAGCAAAGGGGCTTTCACTGAGCACCCACCTTCTTCCCTCTCCTGCAAGGGTTGAGCTGAGAGCCCGTGAGGAGCAGCAAGAGGAAACCACTTTGCTCCAGCATGGAGCTTAGCAAGATGGAGCTTCTCGCTTACTATAAATGTGCTGTTTTGATCTGAAATTAGAGTCTGCGTTAGCTGCATGCACACCTTCCTCTCTCAGCCTGGCTTAAATCAATGCACTGGCACAACTGAGGGAACAGGGCAAAGACAGGAGACAAGCAGCCAGCTGATGGACAGAAATCTCAGCCTGGTCTGAGCTTTAACTCCACTGGTCAAGTGGGAGGGGGACAGCCCAGAATCTCCAGCTGCAATCCCTGGCTAACGTTTATAGGCAGCTTTTTGTTCCCATGTCCGCTTGCTTCCCTTCCAGAACCATTTCTTCACCTGCATGTGATGTGAACTTGTTCCTCCCAGGGCCTCCTGGAAAGCCCTGATAAGTGAAGTTCACCTGTCAGAACTGTCCACACATCACCAGGAAGAAAAATCCTCACTGATGTTTTTTAACAGAAAAAAAGAAGTTCAGGTATGGGGGGATTTTTTTTTTCTTTTTCTTTTTTTTTTTTCTTTTTTAATTTCCAGGACGTGCACAAAGGCAGGAGTTAGGGAGCCTGTTTCTTCAGGAAACCATCTCCCCTTGCAGCGTCCTCGAGCATCCTCGAGATGCCCTCTGGCCCACGCTGCACTCACTGGATCTCTTYGGGTGCTGCAAAGCAGCAGGCGGGGACACCGCTTGGGATGCACAATATAGAGGATAGCTGGAAAATATCCCGGCCGAGCCTTGCAATTCCCGGGATTCCAGCAGCGTGCAGCAGAGGGGACGTCACCACCGCTCTGTGGCACTAAATAGTCACTATGTGTTGAGTATCTCGGCTGGGCACGTGAGAGCAGTTCAAACAATATCCAAAAGGAAGAGCACGTTCTCATTTGTATAGCGCATCGCATCCCGAGGGAACAGCCCCTCACATGAAACCAATTTTAGCATTAATTACAGTACCGCTTTATCGTGTTATAATTTAACTGCCAACCCTTTCCCTTGAAATTAGCAACCGAGGTACATAATATAATCAAACAAGCTTTTTTTTAAAAAGTACATCTTAATATAAATAGTTTATTCAGTGCATGGTTGTGTATACAACAAATAATAAACAACTCTCTGGTACGAGGCAGAAAGCTGCCCGCACAGAACTATGTCGGTTTTGGAGCACAGAATCCAACGATGATTAATGCACAAAATCTTACACGTCATGCAACTCTATGCCAATAGTCCAACTTTCTCCCATGCAACAGACATGATGACCTACATGGAAACCTAACTACATCTTTTTTTTTTTTTAAACAATTGTTTCCAATAGCATGTATAAGTATATGTTGTTTAGGGGGGGTAATCTGTCCTAACGCTCCTCCTACACAATGTTCACGTGCCCATTACAGTGAAAGAAGGACTTTTACAAATAAGACGTTTCTTATAAAAAAAAGGAAGTCACCTTAATTCCACAGGTTCTGTCTTTAGAAAAGAAGCCACAACAATAGTTTAACATGACACACAAAATGGGATTAAGAGAAATCTACCACTGGAGGATAATTTTATCCCTTCCTGCTAACTTCCACTTGGGATAACAAAACAGCTCAATTCCTACAGACTGGGGTTAGCACAAGAACTTTACCAGAAACTACAAATCTATAAAAATTTATATTTCTTTGTGTTTAAAACCACAAGAACACTGTTTACTTGAGCCTGAGACACCAACTCTCAGTTCCAACCCTGAATTTTTGATTTTTTTTTTTAAAGACGTAGCTTTAAAGACCCATTGGAGTTCAGAAATCAAAAAGTTGCTCTATTCCAAATTAAAGGATACATTTTTTTTTTTTTATCAAGCCTTAGATATAAAACGGTAAGCCAAGGAAACAACAGAGTTTACATATTTATTTTCGTTTGCCCCTATAAAACATATAAGCATTAAAATTTCCTTTGAAGAGCAAAAGTGGTCTTTTTTCTTAGTCGGAAAGCAAATTCTTATCAGCAGTGAATGCTGTGAAATGTTTTTGTTTCGTATTCCACAAAGCATAGGAAAGAGAGAAAGACAGAGAGAGAAAGAGCAAGAGAGAAAGAGCTGGACATTTCTTCTCTGAGATTTATTCCGCAGTTATGTTTGCTGGCTATCCAAGTGCCTTGTGATATGCACAAGCATATTCTACATTATTTGGGGTATATCCTTTGACAACCAGTAGATCTAATGGCTGATAAACGAGTGACCTATGCACGTTCGGTGGCTTGTCCCGGGCAACTGAACGTTTGGATGAAAGACTGCTAGTAAGAATTCAACTGCATCCAGAGGTAAGGTTCTGTTTAGAGAGCACTTGGCTGGCCTTAACCTGGCTACGTTGACTCGTTTTGGCTCATGGATTTACCCCCGTTTAGCACTCCTGAAACACTTCTGCTCTTTGTTGGGGTCCCACTTCCAGACCTGGAGAATTCCGTGAGATCGTGGAGAGAAGGCTCCTTGTACATGGCCACTGCAAAGCAAGAAGAGGGCAACACGTCAGCACGGGCTGCTCATCACGCCCTGCATCGCCTGCCYGCCAAAGCTGCATTTTTCATTCAGCAACAAGCCCTGCAAGGAGGGAACGAAGGAAAGGGAGTCGCTCCCTGACAGGAGCTCGCTCTCATTTCAAATGCCTCCTAAGCGAAGCGGAGAGCGTCTTTGAGGGGATGACATTTCAGAGACAGGAGAAAACACGGCCTCCTCCCCCTCCCAATTAAATCACCCACCTAACYGCAGCACATACAAAATGCTGCAAGGTAGACCTGAGCTGATAAAAATCAGCACTTGCTTACTCATGGTGAAGCGCTCTGCCAATAGCTACCATCTGATCTGCTCCTTGTACACAGGGTCTAGACAAATAGGTGAGAAAATGGATTCCTAAGTCTTCTGTTTGGTTTGCTTTGACACGTATCAGAAGTGAGAGGCAACCTCAGCACCAGTTACCTAAAACCTTGTCCCGTATTAGCTTGTAAGCTCGGCCAGCACCCATCCAGGGCTATGCACCTTTGGAATATGCACCCTGAGTTCAGAATGACGCTGCCTTACAAGGTTGTTTAAGAGCATAAAGCARGGTTTCATTCTCCTTAAGGAAGGGGTATAGAGGTTTGCTCTTCTGGAGAATGGGGAGCTCCTCCATGCCACAGCTGAGATCTCTCTCTTTGCATGGACACATGGAGATCCTGGTGGGATCACAGTCCTGATTCAGATGCTACAGTTAACTGGGATAAATCAAGGTCCTTCTAAGACAAATCAGTGCATGTAACCCACATGCATTACCTTTAATTGTCACATACTGGTGTCACATTAACTACAGTTTAATGAGCACTGCGCACTGCAGCTTAGTCCCAGGCAAAAACAGACAAAGAGCCTGTAACATAAAGCAGAGYGTGACAGGATGCACAGGAAGATGCAAGTGGCCAGTGAGCAGCTGTTTGGGCCATTCCAGGTAAAACCTTCATCCCTTGCAGTGCAGAACCCTTGGGCACCTTGAGCATGAAGAAGCTAATGTACCTATTTGGTTTGATGAGGAAAATATGGAAGTGGAGAAACCTAAAAAAAGCAGCTCTGAATGCACTAATGGTATATTACAGAACATTATACTGCTGTTACACAAGCAGCTGARCCCTTCCAATGTGTACACACAGCAATTAAACATTTCCGACCCAGTATAATGTCAGCCCAGACAAACGGAGCCAACCAAGGCAATTACCTTTTAATGGTTTTGGAAGAAAGTGTGCTGCAGGTTTGTTTTTCTTCACGTGGTTTCCTTTCATTATTTCTCCTTCTTTGTTAAGACCCAAGTACCAACCCCGGCCAGACTGTTGCTGTCTGTAGATCATTGAAGAATATGTCACATAGTAGTTTTCAAATACTGATTCTTTGAACTTGCACTCAGGTGTAAAATGTTCCTGTAAGAAAGTAACAGATCAATACGTGCAGAGCTGAATTTCACATCGCTTAATGCAAAAGCATCCAATATTCATTGCTTTTCCAACAGTTAAAAGACATACCTCTCACCCTGCACTATCGGATTATGAAACACTGGCCCTATAAGTATTAACAAAAAGAGTAACACAATTTGAAACCTGTGAAATGACATGGTGAGCAGCTCAGAGCAGCATAATAAAACCTTTTGGAACAACGAGCAAAAACTCTCAGTGACGAATTATTGAGTGATGCAACTAATGGATATTAGGCAGCCACAGCCCTAGTGTCAACCACAAGGGACCAGCTGCAGCTCAGGACATGTAAAGCCTCTTTGCATTAACTGCTACCCTTAACTGCTCGCGGGGAAAGTGAAATCAAATTCAAAGGCAGGAGGCCATCAGCAAATGGTTTCTTACTAACCCAGCAATATTAAGTTAGCCTCTAGCAGCTGCCTCTTCGGTCCAAGCTCTGCTCTTTCAGCACCCAGCAGGTCATGCAGTGCAAGGCTGGCTGTCAGCAACCCCCTGGAAACATCAGCCTCTGCTCTGAAAACGGTAGGAGTTAAATGGTGCAAAACCTGTGGTGCAAAGCCTGTAGGACCAAGCTTTATTCCCCACATGGAGCTGCACCATCTTTTCAGAGGGTGTAGGGTTGGGTTAATAGCTAAAATAAGGAGCAGCAAAACGGGAGAGAGCCTTTTTCTTCCCACCTGAGGAATGAMTGTCTCTCACTGTGTAATGGCCTTGACTCCATCAATACCTTTGGGCACGATTGATCAAGACAGAAAAAAAGATGGTGCAGAYGTGCAACACGGCAAGATGGTCTTAGATCCACCTAGGACCAAAACGTCCGTCCCAAAACAACCATTCCCTTGCTTCCTAGGTAAGTTCTCTGTTGATATATACATATATATTTGTTTATTTTAAGGTTATATGTTTTGAGAAGGTCTCAGCTTTGGACTCCATAAAGGACCAAAGAGGAAGGGCCTGGTCTGCTGGTGCAGATGCAAGCACCATAATCCTGCGTAGCRCTGCATTTCAGAGCAGCCAGCTGCTAGTCTCTATCTGCGAAGTGAGGCAGCTTCAGCAGAACTGTCCTCACGTGTGAGCCTCCTAGAGCAACGGGAAAGCAAGCAAGAAAAATCGAGCTCGCATAATGATGGCGATTTTGATTTAAAAAAAAAATCGCAGGAAATTAAATGTCTCAGGAGCTTAAGATGTTCTTATCTAGTCTCTCAAATATTCCTGACTGAGAAAAAGATGGCATTTTAAATTYTCCCCACATCTTTTGCTGTTTTGTCTTCTTGTAGGAGAAAGAAAAAAAACCCCATATGCCTCTGACTGGCACTCGTTTCAACAAAGAATGTGAAATAAGCAATTTTCTCCTTTTTCCTCCAAGCTAATTGGCTGTTATTTAGTTAATTGACAATTGGTTTCAATCACTGTCAAGCAGAGACAGGCACTGTATTTTTAAAAGATTTCTAAATAAAAGCCTTCCATCACTTTACCCTGCCCAGCGCTTGCTGTGTTAATAAGGGCTATTGCAAGGATATCATCCAATTAGCGGACAAATGGAAACTACCAGGCTCCCAATGGAAGATTATGGTTTATGTACAGTAATTTGGAGCCGTTTAGGGTACAAAGGGCCTCCCTGCTTGCCATGCCAGAGGTGCGGGTCATGAACGGAGGACACACATGCAGGAGATTGAAATAGTGGGGACAGAAAGATCCTAAAAMACCTGTTTCACCCTTATTTTTCCCTTGGGCTAACAAGTCCATGTCAATCCCCTTCTGTTTTTTGCTGCACTAGCCCAGACCACCTCTTCCACTTGACTGTTTAGCATAAGATCATGCTCATTTATCCATAATTTCTGAGCTATTTTAAGACTTCTTAGAATTCCAGGGAATTCTAAGACCTTAAACAGCCATATCAGKAGATGTGTACAATAACAGCAATGCCACATCAGCTTTTCCTATCTCTCAACTGTCCTGAAAGTCCACCTTTCCGTAAAGTCCATAATTTGAATGAGACCTAAGGAGTCAATTGCTCTGAATACATTGCTACATAAAACCAATAAAAAAAAGACCAAGCATTTGTATGAAATAACATTTCCAGAAGTCAAGAACGATGCGTCTATGCAACAATAAATCCTGCCCACCAGAGCTCTGCACACTTGCCCCCAAACAACAAATGAAAGAAGGAACAAATAAAACTTTTTWAAAAAAGTACTGCATTCATTGCAGCCATGGCTCAGTCATGCTTAAGTAAGCAAAAGGCTGAACTGTCAGACGCTTCCCCTTGGTTTTGATCTGATCAGCTGAACTACTGAAATGTATGAATACATCTTCAGCTGCATTAAATACAAAAAAAATATTTTTGTGCAYGATAATATAGTAAAAAGGCATTACAGCATGCCTTTAGAATGGCTGTACCTCCAAGCAGATGACTAGATTACCAAGGGAAAGAAAAATTGCAACTTAAGTAATTTTCGAAACAATTAAAATCTATCTCATTAAAATCTCAGTCCAGTCTCTTCCGTGCAAAACACTGTGTTACAGCACTGCCAAAGCTGAAAGCTACAATAACATTAAAACCAAGGTGGCATTCTTCCTGCTCTGACTGTGCAAAGGCCACTGTTACAAGCCAAACATCATCCAAAATATCACCAACAAACCCACCTACACTGCAGGACTCGATAGTAATGATCCTGGCCATCAAAAGGTGGCAACCTTGGAGTGTCACCCCCCTCATCCCCTTAACAGAAAATGGGAAATCTGATTTAAAGACAAAATAAAATAAATAAAATAAAATAAAATAAAATAAAATAAAATAAAATAAAATAAAATAAAATAAAATAAAATAAAATAAAATAAAATAAAATAAAATATCTAGTCAGGAGGATGGCTGCAGGCACAGTGTACACAGGGCTGCTGAAGAGGCCTGCTCAGGGCTATTTGGTATAAACTGTGTTTACATCGTGAATACCATCAGCAGGGAACATGACCAAATATTTTACAAAGTTGAAAGTTTAAGTTATTAGGGTAGTTGTTTGTTAATTGTTTTTTACAGAAAAGTACAGGTTGAATATCCCGCAGGTWCTGTACAGCAGTTGGACAGAATAATCTGAAATTTTATTCAGATAAATTTAGTGCTAGGGGCATGAATAAGCATTAAAAAAAAAATTGGAAATACTTGGGAAAAGTATTGGGATACTTGGGAAGTGCTCTATCATATTGAGCATAAAGTTATGTTCAATTTAATCAATGACTCTGCCTGCTTATGGGATTCATTCTTGATTTTCTCCACCTAATGAAAATTGGATTTTTTCCCTCCGTATCCTGCTTTCTTTGCGGACTGTAATGTATCCCAGGATTCCATTCTATAATCATGATTTTTTGGAGGAGCCTCTTTAAGGCTCCTGAGTAGTGATTTTCTGCGCCAGTAAGCCTGCCTTTTATATTAAAAGGGATTGATTTTCTCCATGCACGTGAAGTTGCAGGGCGTATCCTCCGGGTCACCATCCTGCAATGTGCAGTGATATCAACAGCTCAAGACGTGAACACTTCAACTTTTAAGTTACAAGAAATAGCAGCTTCTGGAGTAGCAGTGTGAGGAGCCAGCGTGACGAAACTGGAATTTTGTGAAGCGACCAAAATCTGCTTGCTGTGATGACGGAAACTTGAACCAATTTATTCTGTATAAGAACTAACAAAGTTCTCACAGAGAGGTTCCAATCTCAGAAAATCRTCAATTTTGCTTAAATTTACCTCTTGTAAGGAAACCTGGTGATTTTAGTGGGAGCAACTCACAACACATGAATATGCACCRGTCTTGTAGGGCTGTAATTAGGAAATCTGTGTGACCTTCTCATCATGACTACACAGAGCAGTCACTGGTCCCAGCAAAGGATGTGTCTTCTCAAAAATAGTGCTTATATGGGCTTTGGAAGGCAGATGCCTTATTAGTGCTTCTTCCAGRTGAGCTCTCACAAAACTGCTGTAGATACCCAAAGTCCTCAGAGAGGGCTGCAAAGCTAACCTGATTAGTGTTGGAACAAAACAGCTGAGCAAGAATTTGTGGAAGGGAATAATTCCCCTCGAGTTCACCACATTTTGAAGCCATTGCACCAGCTGCATGAGCATGCTGGGGAGAAAACTGCATTCAAAATTATGTAGATGAGACATAGTCCTTAACAATGAGAACCCACTTGCTGCCTAGAGTGACAGAAAGACACAACTTCTCTTAAAAGTGATCCCAAGCAATTCCAGAGCATAAAATTCCATAGCACGGAAAAATTTGGGATATTGCCATAAACTGAATTCTATGAAGTGCAAAAACTCTTYGGTATGTCAATTTATTTAGGACATCACTTCCAAAAAGAGGAAAATGGACCCAAGGAAACAGCTGGTTATCCACCATCTCCAAAGTGAGATTTAAGATTGTCACTTGGTATTCTCTGAATYTATGAAGGAAGCATTAAGAGACTCTTATAATTATTCCCCTGACATTGTTCTTTCACACAGCAAATCAAAGGCACAAACTTCAGGGCAAAATGCACACAGTGAACTGAAGCAGAAAACAAATTAATCACACATACCAAGATATACAGGTTTAAGYTTCCTTCCTTCCTTCTCAGTACTAATCAGTGCCTCAGTTTAAGAAAATGTGTCCAAGTCATCTTTGCCAGATTTTTAAGAGGTATTTAGGCACATCAATAAGTACCTGTGTAAGGCTTGGTGTGTTACTTCTCAGCTTGTTCTGCCCATGAGATGGATGTGCTGCCTGACAACTCCAAGGGGAATGACTACAAGCCTGCAAGCACTGCTGAAATTTAATTGATACAGGATCGTATTACTGTATTGATTAACCAAAACACTCCCTAACTGGGGCAAGTGAACTAAAGCATGATACATGCAAAATAGAGMCCCTCTTTTGATTACTGCAGAGAAAATTAATCCTGTTAGAGAAGATGTGCAAGGTG